TCTTCTTTGAGAAATATTATAGTCTTTGAGACATGGTGTAGTATATACTTGTAGTGTGCAATTCAGTTGGAACGGATAAGTATACAATGAAAAGATAATCTCCCCTCTAGCCCCATCCCATTTTGCTGGGGAAGCCTGTGGTCTTGTGTACAATTCAGAAAATGTTGATACACATATTTTTAATGCCACTCCAGTCTATGTTGGAACTATTTTACTTCCCCCTCCTTATTTTCTTCTTGTGTTCTTGAAGACCTAGATCAGCTGCCGCTGGTAGACTGCCGTTGTGACTTTAGAAAGCTAGTGTCTTTTGTTCCTGAAAACTTTGTTTTTAATTGTATTGTAGCACTCACTGTGTTAGATTCTAAAAGATTTGCCTCGTTTCTGTAACTAGTCTCTCACACCCAGGAGCTCCTACAGGAAAAGCTGGGGATGGTATCCTAGTCAAATGTGAATCCCCGCCTCATCCAGACTTAGGAGTGCGCTGTAGGTACTCCGTAAGTGCTAAAAATGACTGAATACTTCCATAGTTGCCAGATTGCCACCCACTGATACCAGTCTATATACTGATACTTTATAGTATATAGATTGGTCCACATATAGCATGACACATAATTAGAAGCTGTCTTAAAAAGCTGAAAATGCCACAGGAATAGTAATTGATCAAAAACAATATGATTTTTTAGATTTATCTGGAATTTCAGTGTTTGAAAAAATCCTGATTTAATTGAGATGAAACGGATAGCTGAGGATTTTGATAACTTTTCTGGAAGCGCATTTGAGGGTTTCTGGTATTAAATCTGATGTTAATGATTATTTCATCCATTTTTATGTCACTTTATAGTTTTCATACATTTAAGTTTATATTTCTAATGTTTAACACTAGCATTTTAGTTATTTGACCATTCTGGCCCTTTAAAAATCTCTCAGACAAGTTAGAATGATTTCTCAGAGGTAAAAGAGGAAAGATTACATATCCTATTTCCTGGCCGAGAAGAGGTTCATACATTGGTTCAGACATTTCTTTATGACCACCACCAGGTGGCACCACCAGCACATAATGACCAGGTTTCTGCCCAGAATCTGAAGGGACGGTGTTGAGAGGTGACTGCTGTGGGAGTAGCATGGAGGTGGGATATAGGGAGTAACCCACGTTGCCTGCTAGTCTAGAGGCTTTTATAAATTGAAAAACTAATTATTTGTCATTTCATCTGATGATTTTTATGTTTTTCCTTTTTTCTTTCTATGCCTGTAGTTCCTTCAGAAACAGGTAACACTTTTTTAATAGTCACTTTGTATTCTTGCTTCTTGCTCTTACAGTGCTTTTGTTTCTCACCATAGAGGATACTGGAAAATTAATATACTTTGACTTATGGCGTTGGTAAAAGCTGCATGCAAATTCCCACAGTTGCCTGTAGATTAGAGCCAGTGGTTTTTTTTTCTGAACTTAGCAGGAATCCTGGTTACAACACTATTTATTACCAACAATAGTATTTTTAAAATCCAGACTTGCTGGACATGGTGGCTCATGCCTGTAATCACAGTGACTTGGGAAGCTGAGGTGAGAGGATTGCTTAAGCCCAGGAGTTTAGGGCTGCAGTGATTGTGGCACTGGACTCCAGCATGAGTGACAGAGCAAGACCCTGTGTCTAAAAAAAAAAATTTAAATAGAAACAAATTCAAACTTTTAACCATTGTAAAACAAATCAGAATTTATGATAGTGGACATTGGTAATAGTGCAGAATGGATACCCAGATCCTGCTTCTTCCAGCTAATGATGCAATGTTGGCCTAACATGTATTGCTTGTAGCCAGGGTTTTTCTCAGCATCCTGATGCGATAGCCTCATTTTGGGCTAACTCTCCACTTCTGCACGTCTTTCCCTAAGCTCTTTACTCATCTTTAGAAAGAATTACTTTTGGGGAAATTCTTAAATCAAGAAATATCATTCCTTTTTTTTTTTTTTTTTTAAGACAGGGTTTCACCATGTTGGTCAGGCTGGTCTTGAACTTCTGACCTCAGGTGATCCGCCTGCCTTGGCCTCCAAAGTGCTTGGATTACAGGCGTGAGCCACCACGCCCAGCCAGGAATATCATTCTTTATAGAATCATACTTCTGTGTATTCCCCTTCCCCATTTCTGCCTTGAAGACCAGACTGCTAAGTAACCTGTGAATAAGTTTTTTAAAGTTTGGTATTGTAAACAGATTTAAGATTAAAATGTAGCATTGAGAAAAATAGATTTCTTAATAATTTCCTGTTAATACAACCTAAATTCTGGTCAGTGGAATAAAGCCTGGATCACTAAAGTTATAGATGCTTGCTTGCTTTTCTCCACTGGCTCTTACTTGGGGATCGTTTTAGAAGTCTGGTTAGAATAATACCATAAAGACATATTTTAAGCTACTTTGTGTGTACATTTGGGATCTTTTGATTTGAAGTCAGCTTGACTCAGTCAAGCTTTTCTAAATATTTTTACACAAACACAGACACATACAGATACCCTGCAGTGAGAAAAAAAATCCATTTATATGATTCTATAAAAACTCTAGCTGCTTAGAGCTTTAATTTCTTGAATCAAAAGTATTATCTTTAATGCTGAACCTCTATCTAAATAAATGCTTTATTCACTTAAATGTGCTTTTCAAAAACCAGTATGATTAAAACATTAATAGAATCTTACATGTAAAATAACAGTTCTGTTGTTTCTTGTAGAAAATAATATGACTGGTTTGGAATTTTTCTGTAGTGTAGTTTTTTGGTCTAGTTTTGTGAGAATTAAAGGGATTTCAGGATACTAGTGTAGGTTATTTGATGTTTTCTTGGAACATTATACATTCTTGAAAACACATAATTTTTTTCTGGTGCCATCAGTAGCTTTCAGCAAAGATGATTTGTTGGTAAGACAGCATTAGTCTCTTAGAATCTCTTAGATTTTCCAAAATTCAGCCATTTCTAGTTAATGCTCCATTCCATCCTCAGCTGAGTCCTGCTACTCTGGGGAACTCCGTTGGCAAACTCTTGGCTCTTAGAACTGCTAGCAATGGGTGTAGTGCTGCTGGTGGAGCTGGCAGCTAAGCCCAGAGGTGCACTGATGCTTTTATTCCTCGATGTGCATGTACACACAGCCATGCCCACCCACACCTACTTTGGGATAAGAAGGCGTTAGAATTTTAGCTAGGCTTGAAGTTCCATGCTCAAATTTGCTGGCTCAGATGTCTTATTTTGATATCACTTTGCCCACTGGGGAGACAATGACAGTTACAGAAGCATTGCCAAATAGAAAAATCCCTCTGAAATAACCTCTTTTATAGGAGCATTGTGTGTTTAGCAGTTGATTTGTCCCTTCCTCCTCTTAGTGGCAACTTGCAGTAAGGGGAGGAAACAGTGGCTGGGAGCTTATATTCCTCAGCGGAGCCATATCAGCAGAAGTATTACTCCTTAGCTAGTGGTAGGTGCTACTCTATGGATCCAACCTTTTAAGTGCAAGCCTATATCTACAAAGCATTTCCTAATGCCATCATTGCCCAGTGGGCCTTTATTTAGTTGAGTCTAACTCCCAACTAGTGAAAATTTCCTTTGCCAGACAGCAATATAGTCAGGTAAATATGTGGATGCCACATTTGCTCTCATAAGTCAGTCCTCTTCAATATCATTAGTAGAAGAGAAGAGGACACAAAGTGAGAATACGTTAATAGGGCTTTCTGAGGACAGGTAATACTGTAGGGCCTGAACTTTGTAGCAGAGAGGTTATATATGAAGAGGTGGATTCTTGGAGGGGATAAACCACTTAGAATGGCTTCACAGAGTTTGCTGGGATATTGACCACTGCATATAGAGATGAATATGGAAAGTTAAAAACAAAATCCACATATATTTGGCTGCAGGTACTCTGAAGGTATATCTAATTAGTGCATCCATTACAAAAGAGATATTTTAGGCCAGGCATGGTGGCTCATGCCTGTAATCCCAGCACTTTGGGAGGCTGAGGTGGGTGGATCCCCTGAAGTCAGGAGTTCGAGACCAGCCTGTCCAACATGGTGAAACCCCGTCTCTACTAAAAACACAAATATTAGCTGGATGTGGTGATGAGTGCCTGTAATCTCAGCTACTCAGGAGACTGAGGCAGGAAAATTACTTGAACCTGGAAGGCAGAGGTTGCAGTGAGCTGACATGGCACCACTACACTCCAGCCTGGGCAAAAAAGCAAGACTCCGTCTCAAAAAAGAAAAACAAAAAAAAAAGAGAGAGAGATTTCAGATGAATTGATAGAAATTTTCTTGGTCACTTGGCTGAGTAATTACCTATAATGTAATTTAGTGAATTATGTCAATACATTAAAATATGCTTCATGTGGCTTTAAATTATATGAGAAGAAAATACCTTTACTAATAGTCATTTATGATTCTGTTTACTAAATTAAATGTGAAAGCATACTTTTACTGAATGTTACTCTTCATTTTAGTTTAGATAGCAGTTTATCTTCACAGACATAAGTTTTATGTTTACCTTTACTTTTTATTTTTTGAGATGGAGTCTCGCTCTGTTGCCAGGTTGGAGTGCAATGGTGTGATCTCGGCTCACTGCAACCCCACTTCCTGGGATCAAGTGATTCCCCTGCCTCAGCCTCTCGAGTAGCTGGGACTACAGGCGCACACAACCACGCCTGGCTGATTTTTGTATTTTTAGTAGAGATGGGGTTTCACCATATTGGCCAGGATGTTCTCTATCTCTTGACCTCATGATCTGTCCGCCTCAGCCTCCCAAAGTGCTGGGATCATAGGCGTGAGCCTGGCCAAGTTTACCTTTATTTTAGTGCATTTGTCTTTTGTTTCCATCAACTTAAATTATGTTGAATAAATGTTTGTTAGATTTTAAGTTAAACAATTATGTGAAGTTCACTTTTCGTAATTGTTTTTTAACATGTCTTTGTTGGTCATTCATGTGTGTGAGTATAGCTGATTGTCCGGTTACATGAACTTTCAACCAAAACCATTCTTTACAGATGCTTTTACTGACTCTGCTATCAGTGCTAAAGTGAATGGTGAACACAAAGAGAAGGACCTGGAGCCCTGGGATGCAGGTGAACTCACAGCCAATGAGGAACTTGAGGCTTTGGAAAATGATGTAGTAAGTAACATCTTTGTAATTAGTGCCAGACTCTGTGGTCAGTGTTGTGTGCATGTGACATTCTATCACTTGGTTGTGATTTCAGTGTGTTTTTATTGTTGTTGTTGAAGTGAGTGTATTTAGAGCAGCAGTTTTGTTGTGTAACTAGAGACTTTCTCCCAGGCAATATATAAAGAAAAATGATTGTTATTTTACTTCTAGGGGTTAAGGAGTACTGCCTGTTCTTGTGGATCCTCATGAATTACTTCTTTGTGATTAAAATAAATAATAACAACTTAAAAATTAAAATTAGAGGCTAGGTGCAGTGGCTCACGCCTGTAAATCCCAGCACTTTGGGAGGCCGAGACGGGCAGACCACCTGAGGTTGGGAGTTCGAAACCAGCCTGACCAACATGGAGAAACCCTGTCTCTAATCAAAATACAATATTAGCCAGGTGTGGTGGCACATGCCTGTAATCCCAGCTACTCAGGAGGCTGAGGCAGGAGAATAGCTTGAACCTGGGAGGTAGTGGTTGCTGTGAGCTGAGATCACGCCATTGCACTCTAGCCTGGGCAACAAGAGTGAAACTCCATTAAAAAAAAAAAATTAGAAATCAGAGGAAATGTTAGTGTGTTATTTCTTTAATACCCTGCCAAATAAGGTAACCTGAGGAAAATGGTGTCTTTGGTTGTTGACTTCACCTAGAGATGAGGTTGAAGTAGGACATTTTAAGCTTCTTGTCTGAAGAAAAGGTTGTCATTATTAAGATAAATAATTAGGTTACATTGGAATTAAAGCATTATGTAAATTTCTTGGTCTTAAATTGGGATTATTCTCCACAAAATTCTTCTATTTCTAAACTGCTTCTTGTCACATACTAGTTTTGCTTCTCTCTTAATGCATTATCTGTACTTGAATTGCTTAGCTGGGTATGCTGGCACATGTCTGCAGTCACAGTTACTAGAGAGGCTGAGGCAGGAGGATCATTTGAGTGCAGGAGTTGGGAGTCTAGCCTGAGCGACATAAGTAGACCCCTTCTCTAAACAATAAAAATAAAAACGAATGCTTACTAAAGACTCTACCTTTAGGATAGAGAGCATAGAGATACAAAGCAAAGTCTCTTGCCAAAAATCAGTGTTAACGTAGGTTAATTTGAGTTGAGTGAAGAATCTTCCATTGAGTAGAAACAGAATTTGTAACATATCTCGGTTTGATGTTTAAGGCATAACGGCTTAATAATGACACTCTTCTTTTCCTCAGACAAGAAGCCTAAAATGTCTACTTTGACCTTATGTCTAGTAATAAAACCGGACATACACAGGCAACATGTCATTATTAATTTTCAAACTGCTGGGCACGGTGGCTCAAGCCTGTAATCCCAGCACTTAGGGAGGCCGAGGCGGGTGGATCACGAGGTCAAGAGATCGAGACCATCCTGGTCAACATGGTGAAACCCCGTCTCTACTAAAAATACAAAAAATTAGCTGAGCATGGTGGCGCGTGCCTGTAATCCCAGCTACTCAGGAGGCTGAGGCAGGAGAATTGCCTGAACCCAGGAGGCGGAGGTTGCGGTGAGCCGAGATTGCGCCATTGCACTCCAGCCTGGGTAACAAGAGCGAAACTCTGTCTCAAAAAAAAAAAAATTTCAAACTTTAACGAATCATATATAACCTAATATGATGGTTCTCAAGTCTGTATATTATATCACGTGTATGAAAAATATGGGGAAATGGAGACTTCTTTTACACTATTAGTGAGGTGTATAAATTGATAGAGGCTTTCTGGAGAGAATCTGGCAGTGCTCGTTAAAATAAAAAATGCACATACTTTCTTCCAGCAATTCTACCTCTAGTAATTTATTTTTTCCTTCATACATCTATAAGACATGCAAATAATTATATGTAAGGATTTTTTTTTTTTTTAAATTCTGCAGAGACAGGGTTTTGCCGTGTTGCCCAGGGTGTTCTGGAACTCCTGAGCTCAGGTAATCCACCCACCTCAGCCTCCCAAAGTGCTGGGATTACAGGCGTGAGCTGTCATGCCCAACTAGGATTCTTTTTTTGTAGCATTATTTTTCTTTTCTTTTTTCTTTTCTTTTTTTTTTTTTAAGAGATGGAGTCTCGTTCTGTCACCCAGGCTAGAGTCCAGTAGGGCCATATCTTGGCTCCCTGCAACCTCCACCACCTGGGTTCAAGTGATTCTCTTGCCTGAGTTTCCCAGGTAGCTGGGACTACAGGCGTGTGCCACCACGCCCAGCTAATTTTTGTATTTTTAGTAGAGACAGGTTTCTCTATATGTTGACCAGGCTAGTCTCAAATTCCTGACCTCAGGTAATCTGCCTGTCTCAGCCTCCTGAAGTGCTGGGATTACAGATGTGAGCCACTACGCCTGGCCACAACATTATTTCTAATAGTGAAAAATTGGAAGCATCTAAGTATCGATCAGTATAGCATGAGTTAAATTTATGGTGTCACCGCTCAGTTGAAACACTACGTCTCTACCAAAAAGAATGGTGTTCCGATATGGAACGATATCTAAGATTTATTTTTTAAAAAAGCGCTTTCACTTAGGCCTGTGGCTCCAGCAGGATGGGCAAATGTGACAGACTTGATACTGCTAGGAAGCTTTGTAGCCACCAACTAGACCAGAAGTGGTGTGATAAACAGTACAAGAAAGTCTATTTGGGCACATTCCTGAAGGCCAACCCTTCTGGAGGTGCTTCTCATGCAAAAGGAATCGTGCTGGAAAAAGTAGGAGTTGAAGCCAAATTCTGTCATTAGGCATGTGTCAGAGTCTGGCTGATCAAGAATGGCAAGAAAATGACAGCCATTTGTACCCAATGATGGTTGCTTGAACTTCATTGAGGAAAACAATGAAGTTCTGGTTGCTGGATTTCGTCGCAAAGGTCATACTGTTGGTGATATTCCTGGGGTCAGCTTTAAAGTTGTCAAAGTGGCCAGCGTCTCTATTTTGGCCCTATACAAAGGCAAGGAGGAAAGACCAAGATTATAAATTTTAATGGTGAAAACACTGTAATAATAAATTTTCATATGCCAAAAAAATTAAAAATAAGTAAATAAATAAAAGAAAAAGCACATTGCAGAACAGTGGGATTCTATTTGTTTTTTTTTAAAGCCTGAGTCTTGCTCTATCTCCCAGGCTCGAGTACCGTGGTATGATCTCAGCAACCTCTATCTCCCTGGTTCAAGCGATTCTCCTGCCTCAGCCTCAGCCTCCTGAGTAGCTGGAATTATTTGCGCCTGCTACCACAGCTTCCTAATTTTTGTGTTTTTAGTAGAGATGGGGTTTCACCATGCTGGTCAGGCTGGTCTGGAACTCCTGACCTTGTGATTGGCCCACTTTGGCCTCCTAAAGTGCTGGGATTACAGGCATGAACCACTGTGCCTGGCGATAATTTTTTTTTTTAAAAGAGCAGTTCAATAGCCTTACTGCATAGAAAGTACCTGAAATTACACCCAAGAACCTCTTAATAGTAGTTTTTTTTTATGCACAATGAGATTGGAAGATGTTTGCTTTTTACTGGATGTCTTTCTATATTGTGCCCTTTTTTTTTTTGTATGTAGGGCATACATTATTTAAGTAATTTTAAAGCCTCCATAAGTAATTGTGATTTCCTGCCCATGTGTTTGGTACAAGGAGTTGCACTGGTGGTAGGATTACATTATAGTCTCACCTGGAGTAGCACAGGGGACTCAAGGTTAATAGGTAAACTTTGAGGCAAACCTTAGCATTGGGGTTGCCATCAGCATTGCTTGGATGATGTGTCTGTTCTTTTGGGATGGATTATAGCCTTTATTGGACTTTATACTTTTTACCAGTAAGGCTTTAAAAAAGCCTTGGAAAGACATTAGAGAAGTGATTATCCAGACATTAATATTCACTGGTAAGTGATTATCCATACATTAATATTCTCTGATAAGACATTAATATTCCTGTGGCCCAGTTTGTTCATTCTTTTAAAGATTGCAGCCTCAGCTGCTCTGCCTGTGGAGTAGCCATTCTTTTATTCCTTTACTTTCTTAATAAACTTGCTTGCCCCCAGCTCCCCACCACCAAAAAAAGAATGCAGCCTCTCTTTTGTGAGTGGTGATTTCCTATAATTCCCTCATAGAATTGTGGAGTTACCTATGCTGAGGTTATAGGTTAGAGTATTGAGATCCAGGGTTGCCAATTCTGAGGCCTCACAGCTGCTAATGGTAAAACCAGCTCTAAAGCCCAGTTCTCATGACTTTGTTCAGGGATTGCCTGTTCACCATTTCATGTTCCCTTCCCATTTGAGCATTCCCAGGAGGAAGGGGCGGTTACCAGCCACCTAGTCCCGTGGTCTCACCTTGGAATCCTTGAATATGGGGGAAAGCGTTGTCTTCTCCCTTCTTTCTCCCACATGTTGGAAATATTTTTGGCTGTTAAAAAGTACCCCTTTTCCCATGTGAAATCCATTGTTTAAAAACAGTAAAATAGAGGTGGGGGACAGAGAAAAAAAAAGCAGTAAAATATATACCTCCTGTCCTCCACAGACCTGAGGACCAGTGATCTCAAGAAGGTTACGGGTAAATGCAGTTGTCTCTACCGAAAGATGGCTTTTAGGGGTTAAAGAGAGAACCTTGGTGTGAAGGCTATTTTATGAAGTAACTAAAATGTTCTAAACTTTAAAAATAACTGCTCAAATAATTGTGTTGTATAGTTATTTACCAACTGGAGGGGCTGATAAGTAGAAGAAAAGTTTTTTCCTAAAACATTTTAAAGGAATATTTTTCTGTTTTCTAATTAACTAATTTTGCTCAAGTAGTCTATTAGATTTTTAGTATAGATGTTCGTTATAACTGAATGAAAAAGGATAAATACTTGTCATTGTGAAAAATGAGCTTCATTTTCTTCTAGTCTAATGGATGGGATCCCAATGATATGTTTCGATATAATGAAGAAAATTATGGTGTAGTGTCTACGTATGATAGCAGTTTATCTTCGTATACGTAAGTTTAAAAAGTTTGTTTTTATTTCAGTGCATTTGTCTTTGATTTTCATCAACTTAATTTATGATGTTGAATAAATGTTTTTAAGTTAAACAATTACGTGAAAGAGTTTTTCTCTTATTAGCAAGTGTGATAAATTCTCATTAAAAAGCGGAATGGGCTGGGCGCGGTGGTTCAAGCCTGTAATCCCAGCACTTTGGGAGGCCAAGGCGGGTGGATCACGAGGTCAAGAGATCGAGACCATCCTGGTCAACATGGTGAAACCCCGTCTCTACTAAAAAAATACAAAAAATTAGCTGGGCATGGTGGTGCGTGCCTGTAATCCCAGTTACTCAGGAGGCTGAGGCAGGAGAATTGCCTGAACCCAGGAGGTGGAGGTTGCGGTGAGCCAAGATTGCGCCATTGTACTCAAGCCTGGGTAACAAGAGCGAAACTCCGTCTCAAAAAAAAAGAGGGGGGGAATAAATGTAGTTTGCCTGTACCCTATTTTTATGCTCTAAACAAATTTTGGTTTTGTCTTTTAAGTTGCTAAAAAATAACTAAATTTGCAAGGGCAGAGATTATGGTGAACAGTTTAACCAATTTTTGAAATATGTTTCTCTAGAGAAAAGGTAACAAAAAATTCAAATTTTGATTTATAAATAAGCAGATCACTGTAACTTTTACAGTTTTTTTTTTTTTAACCTATATTCTAAACTCTTAACTTTCTTAGTAGTTGATTATGACAGATATATGAACTGTGGCTTGAAAGTACTAATTTTGCTTTTCTTTTCACGTTTCAGGGTGCCCTTAGAAAGAGATAACTCAGAAGAATTTTTAAAACGGGAAGCAAGGGCAAACCAGTTAGCCGAGGAAATTGAGTCAAGTGCCCAGTACAAAGCTCGAGTGGCCCTGGAAAATGATGATAGGAGTGAGGAAGAAAAATACACAGCAGTTCAGAGAAATTCCAGTGAACGTGAGGGGCACAGCATAAACACTAGGTATTTAAAGGAAATCATGATGCAGTATTTTGGATACACAACTCAAGGTCTGTGTGAGACGGTGTATTGTTATTCTATTTCCTCTTCCTTTAATGTAGCTTAGGTAGAGAATGCAAGTAGAATTGGTTTAAGATTCTGTTAGAGAAAAGGTTATGGTAATCTTGGAAAATACGCTTTTGAGAGTAAGCTCTGTGGAGCAAAGTGTCGGTATATCATGGTGACCAATCCAAGGTCTTGAAGAGCTTGTTAAAGTAGTGATCTGGTGGGGGACACGTGTAATGTCACAGCAGTACAATATGATTTGCTTGATTAAAACCATGTTCAAAGTACTAGGAATATCCAGAGTGAGGAGGAGCTAGCATAACCTGTAGAGTCAGAGAAAGCCTCACTGAGGAGGTGACATTTTGTGATAAGATAATAGGGTCTTTGACACTCAGTGAGGAGTTGGGAGAAGAATTTCTCACTTGATGAAAAGCCATGTACAAGCATGGCTGTGTGAGAAAATTTGTCCAGCTCAGGAAAGGGCTGGTTGTTGCATGTGTCTGGAACACAGGGTCTGTGTCAGGTGCAGCGATGGCAGTTGATAGTAGGAATTGAGGTCATTGAAGGACGTGGCATGTCATGCCAAAGAGCATCTTGTTGGAAGGAGATGGAATGAATAAACCCTTGGGCATTGAGGACTGGCTGAGACACAGAACAGTGGATTGAAATAGTTCAGCTCTGAGAATTTGGTGACCACCTAGATCAGAGATGAGCCTGAGGCTTATTTGATAACTAAGTGACTTAATTATCGGAAACATGGAGCAAGTTTGAGGGGGAAAACAGTGACTATTTGGGCAGTTAATTGCATTTGAGGGACTTTGGGATCTTTCATTTATTCGTAAACTTTTGTTGGGAATTACCTGCTACCTGTCTGTTAAAGTAGGAGATGCATCCTGTCTTTAAGGCAGTCAGCTTAGAGTCTGGTGATTTAAATTGACAAGTCCAGTGATAAGATGTTGACACTGTGAGACTGGCGGTTCAGTTTGGGGTTTCATCAGCATTGCTGATATTGGAGCCATGAAAAACCAAAGAACATCCAGTGAGAGAAGAGATCTCAGAGAAAATAAAGTTGAGAAAGTGAAGGACAAAAAAATGTTGAAGATAGACCAAGATTGATAGTATCAGCCATGGAGAGGTCAAGTGAGATGAGAGTGAGCACACATCTGTTAAACTTTGTGCTTAAGAGCAGAATCTAAGGGAAGGGACAGGCCAGAGGCTAGAACTCAGGGTAAGATGGAGGAACAGGGACATCTGGGAGTGAGGCAGTTTGGTTTAGTGTAGAACCTTTTTGTAACAAGCATTCCCTTCTGCCTAGATGACTTTTAGATATTTTTCATTGGCCTGGTACCTTTTAGAATAAAATGATTTAGAGGCTCTCTCATTTTCAGGGAAAATAAATATATACCTCCTGGACAAAGAAATAGAGATGTCATATCCTGGGGAAGTGGGAGACAGAATTCACCGCGTATGGGCCAGCCTGGATCGGGCTCCATGCCATCAAGATCCACTTCACACACTTCAGATTTCAACCCGAATTCTGGTTCAGACCAAAGAGTAGTTAATGGAGGCAAGTATTTTGACCAGATTTGTCAATATCATTGATCAAATAGTTTTCTAAATACTTAAAACAGTTTACATAACTGCTAAGAATGTGCACTTTAATGAATTGCGGAGTAGTTTTCACTTCAGCATTACTTAAAATTGGCTTTTGTGTCAAGCAAAGTAGTAAAACATTATATATGTTATTGGCATATACATTATTTAGCATGATGAAATACTCATGATATACTAAGATAAAGTGCTGCATTTAACCCAAGACAATCACTTGGCCAAAAACACTCCACATATAAAGAAATTGGAAACTTTGGATAGGTTCTCAATTTTAAAAACATATATAATAAAATTATTTAGACATAATGTATATGGAAAATTTTAACCTATGTGCAACACTGTGGTTAATGTAGATTTATTTTCATTAACTATTTTTGTATTATGCTTCAAGAAAGGATCTCAGGTAACTTACAAGATATGATCAAGAGTCATGTGAAGAAAGTGACTAGAGAAATGTGCTTAAAAAACAACAAAAACAACTCAGTCTAAGGATGGATGTTACAGTTTAGCAACTTAAAGAAACCTGAATCTTTATTAGGAAGACATTTTTTACTCTACCTCTAAATCTAGATTGAATATATCTTGTAGGTTGTGGATCTTTTCCATAAATCGGGGATACTGAACAACAATTCTATGGATGGTATGGAAATAGTAATAGCAATAATATGTTACTAACTTTGAGAAAAGAGTGGATGTTCAATTTTAGATATTTAAATTTGGAAAGTTAGAAAGATAAAAATAGAGAACACTAAGTTTCCAATTTCGTTTGTTTTAATTGAGTCTTTTCTCCAGAATTCCTCTCCAAATGGACACGCTTGAGTATTTTCTGTACTTAATATTGGGGGTGAAATTTCTTTGCTCAATGAGGAAAGATTTTAGTTGTTCATAAACAGAATTTTAAAGTTAAAAAACCTGAAGGGGCTGGACAATGTATGATACTCAAGTGTGTGGAATCCTATGGAGAGGAGGCCTGGACTGTTTGATAAGATTAAGGTAAGTGATATGTAATGTTAAATACTAGCTGTTATCTTTACCTGGGCATATCCATCAGTATAGTTTTATTTGGTGATGACTGCCTTGTAATTGCAGTATTTACTAAGCAGTAGCTTAGATAAGTGTTTAACTGTATAAATTATTTAGAAGGTCTCCCATTTTCTAGTTTAATGAGATCAAGACTTTTTTGAAAGAGCAATGAATATTAGCATTTGATACTCCTGTGACTCTAGAAGAGTAATGTTTTATTTCTGCTTAAATGGGACTTGCTTAATGAGATTTCAAACTGAATTTTAGGTTTACACTTGATAAAAATCAGATGACTATAAGGAACCAGCATTTCTAATTGGATATAATAGCTATTGCTTATTTTCATTATGCATCAAAGATAAAACTAATACAGTAAATAATCTTATTCCTGAGTAGGAATTATTATGATTTATTATGTGAAATTATCTAGTGTATGTTATGTTCCTTTAAACAACTGATTACTTGAGAAACAGTTATAGAAGCAGGATTAATAGGCAAAGTCTTAACTGTCTTCTTCAGTAGTGTGTGTAGATCCTAATTAACCCTTTGGGAACGTGTATTCATTTAAACAGACTTAATCTTAAGGAGGTTAAAGTAAAATGTGAATTTATGTCAGTTAAGTTATGCTAAAACTTATCACAAATCAAATGACTGTCCTCAAAGGGTTAAAATGTACAAGAAATCATTTTTGTCATTTTACTTTTTTTTCTGTTTACTTTTTTCCCTCATTTTTTTCTTTAGTTTTTATACTTTCCTTCATATCATTTGTTCTGTCAGGTGTTCCCTGGCCATCGCCTTGCCCATCTCCTTCCTCTCGCCCACCTTCTCGCTACCAGTCAGGTCCCAACTCTCTTCCACCTCGGGCAGCCACCCCTACACGGCCGCCCTCCAGGCCCCCCTCGCGGCCATCCAGACCCCCGTCTCACCCCTCTGCTCATGGTTCTCCAGCTCCTGTCTCTACTATGCCTAAACGCATGTCTTCAGAAGGTACAATACCACAATTTGTTCATGTTTTTGTTTGTCTTTGTTTAACTCCTATGTGAGTTTATAATTACAAAATAGTTTCCTCTTCATTATTTAATAACCTATAATTTCTGTGTTTTAACTTTAGTTTATTAAAACTATTTCTATTAACCTTTTGTTCATTAGAGAGAAATTTGATAAATGTTGTGTGAAGCTATGAACTATTTGAATCATTGTTAAAAAGGGATTTATCTCTGCCTGGTAATTATGCTTCTTTACAGCCCCAGAAAGGTCTGCCCCACAGCCTGTATGCAGTAGTTAATGATAAACAAGTGAACTTTCTTTAGCCAGTCTTGAACTTGGGTTCATTTTACAGCTCCTTGGCCAAGGTCTTAGTAAACCTTCCTATTGGCTGTAAGAAGGAATGGTGTTTTTTGGGTCCTTTTTGAGAGAGACAGCCCATATAGCTGCCTTCGTGTGTCTGCCCTTAGATTAAAGTAGTTTGATTTTTAGAATGCCTGAGGAATTCTAAATTTTAACTGAGTAATTTTTTTAAAGTTAGCTTTGCAATATTATATAGTGAAAGGCTGCTATAATTTGGGAGAAGTCCTTTATCTAAGATAAAATTATTGATTAAAACCATGTATGAATTTGAATATTTAGCTATTTTTTCCCGTCATCAAAAGTAAGAATAAAATCTTATAATTCTTAATTAGTATTTGGTACTAAATCCAATATTGCAACATATCAAATACATGCACATGTTGTAGAAAAGTAACATTCTAATATGCCATGCATATATTAAAAACCTGTTTTCTGAATCATAATGTCCTCTTGATATTAGTTCTGAATATTTATGTTAAAATTTTAATCTGATTTGTTCATTAAAATTATGGTTGATATTGCTTATGTTGGGAGAAGTAAAGTTTTCTGCACAAAGTGTGTTTCTCCTGCTTCCCTGGAGAAAAGGAGGCTGCTTTTAAATAAATTGTTACCTTCTAAGCAGGCAGGCCATGTGACTTTGACGCATGTAACCTTGAAGAGTAAGTTCCACTGATTTTCAAGGTGATTTCTTTACTCAAAAGGGCCTTAATAGTGGTCACTAAATGCAAAGTTATTTTTCTTGCAGTCCATTGTTTGAATAAGTGATGTTTATATAATGAGAAAATATTAAATAAGACATGATCATTAATGACTGTGAATATCTTTATTACATTAAGATGTAAGGACTGCTCATGGACTATTCACACAGAAATAACACCTTCTGTGGCATTCAGAGATGTTAAATATTTCCATTTGAAAATTATAGTGTATAATATTAGCATTCTTTTAAAAATCAAGTTCATGTTTAAATTCGTCTTGGGAGCAGGCTATGGTGGCTCACACCTGTAATCCCAGCACTTTGGGAGGCTGAGGCAGGCGGATCACTTGAGGTCAGGAGTGTGAGGCCAGCCTGGCCAACATGGTGAAACCTTGTCTCTACTAAAAATAGAAAAATTAGCCAGGCATGTTGGTGCTCGCCTGTAATCCCAGCTACTTGGGAGGCCTGAGGCAGGAGAATTGTTTGAACCTGGGAGACGGAGGTTGCAGTGAGCCGAGATTGCACCCCTGCACTTCTAGCCTGAGCCACGGAGAGAGGCGGTATCTCAAAAAAAAAAACCCAAAAACTTCTACTGGGAACACACGTTAATTTGAAGTTCTAAAGAGTTTGGCCGCAGGGTGAGAGTGAGGAGCCTTGGCTTTGACATTAGGAAAGTTTTTCACTCGGTATTAGCATCAGCAGGCTTCTGTGATGAGGGCCATTCTGTCTACTGTTCTTACTTGATAGATTGGTCTAATGTACAGTAGACTGATTTAGAAAGAATAGTCACTAATGGCCTGGCAGAATCAATAATGTAGAATTTTGACAATTCATATAATGCAGATTTCTTCCCCAGATGTCAATTATATTGGTTTTACAAGTCATGCATTAATAGAATTTTCAGCTGACAGCCTGCTAAGCCTAAGAAACTGCTTACAAGTGAGGACTGTTTTAATCCAAGTTTAAAAGCTGATGATTATGATACAAGAGATAAACTAAAATTTTTATGAAATTTAAGAAAACTTTGTACATATATTTTAGGGTGTATAGAGATTAATAGTCTTTATTTAATTTTTTTTTTCTAATTTTAGAAGTAATATAGAAAATTTGGGGTGGGGAAAGGTAAACTGGAAAGCTAAAAATATTTTATGTAGTCATAATTTCTAGTAGCATTATATTTCTTTACAAATAAGACATGGGTGAAACAGATTGCTATAGTTCTAGGAGTTGACATCTTACTGTTGTTTTCTTAGCACCAATTTCATCCCTTTCTTTAAAAATAAAGGGAAATAATACAATTTATTTATAAAACTTTGTAGCATTCCACAAAATAATTCTGAAAGAATTAGGATGGCCAAAAATATATTTAGGGTGTTTTTTTTCTGTTTTTAACCAAGGAAAAACTGTAGAGTGAGTGAGAGAGAGAGAGAGAGAGAGAGAGAGTGAGTGTGTGTGTGTGTATTGCATGCATGTGTGTAGTGTATGCACGTGTGTGTGTGTGTAGATGGGTGTGTTTAGCAGAAAAGTAGCACTGAGGAACATTGTGGCATTTATGTAATGTTCACTCTTTCTTCCTTAGGGCCTCCAAGGATGTCCCCAAAGGCCCAGCGACATCCTCGAAATCACAGAGTTTCTGCTGGGAGGGGTTCCATATCCAGTGGCCTAGAATTTGTATCCCACAACCCACCCAGTGAAGCAGCTACTCCTCCAGTAGCAAGGACCAGTCCCTCGGGGGGAACGTGGTCATCAGTGGTCAGTGGGGGTAGGTAACACTTGGCCATAATGACGGTACTCATTTTATCATTATACTAGATTTAAAGAGAGCTGAGCTACAACTCAGTTTGAGGAAGTGTAAGTATATATATATTAAAAATAGTAGAATCACCAGGAATTGGGAAATCTATATTTTTATTCTAGGCTCTGCCACTTCTCATGTATTAAAGCAAGTAAGACACTAATTCTGAAGTTGAGATTTCTTAGTGAGTAAAGTGTTAATAATTCTTGCCTAGTCTTTATAAGCTTGTGCTGAGATTTCTATAAGGTTCATAAATATGGATATATTATAAAACCGTAAAGTTTTATAAAGTACATCTCTAATATGAGGCAAATACAGTATGTAATACTATTTGGAGGGACCATATTTCCTTTTTAGCAGCTTTGTTCATCAGTACATTCTATAAGCATTTATTTTCGGCTTACATTATAGTGTGTTTCTATAGCATCTGTATATGGCACTAATTCCCAACTATATTTCCATAATAAGGAATATCAAACAAATGAAGGGTCTAAGTTTTATCTGTGATTAGTGTAAGGAATATGCTGACAGCAGCTATAAAAGTTAGATGTTGTCAAGATTTTACGGTAAGGCTGACTGCTTTTCCTACTTTGCCAATAAATCCTTAATGCTGTGTTTCCCTAACTGTGGTGAGCAAGAGCTTACAAAGAATGCTTTAAAAAAAAACCCAAACAACTTAGTCTATTTCCATCAGTCTATAGAACCTTTAAAAGAAAAAAGATGGGCCGGGTGCGGTGGCTCACACCTGTAATCCCGGCACTTTGGGAGGCCAAGGTGGGGTGATGACTTGAGGTTTGGAGTTCAAGACTGGCCTGACCAACATGGTGAAACCCTGTCTTTACTAAAAATACAAAATTAGCCAAGCATGGTGGTGCATGCCTGTAATCCCAGTTACTCAGGAGGCTCAGGCAGGGGAATTGCATGAACCCAGGAAGCAGAGGTTGCAGCAAGCCAAGATCGTGGGATTGCACTCCAGCCTGGGTGAAAGAGGGAAACTCTCTCCCTCAAAAAAAAGAAAAGAAAAAGAAAAAGAAAAAAGAACTTCATGCTTAAGCAAAACAAAACAAAAAACCCCAGCTGTGTTAAATCTGTTTTTAGTTGATAAACACTTCTGCTCAGCTTCATGTGATGTACATTCGTATAATTGTACCATAAATTCCTTTGTACTTTCTGTTTTCTTCTTTGGTCTTCAGTTATCTTAAGACTACCAAGAAAACACAAATTTTTAAAATCTTCTTTAGCCAACCAGGTGTGGTGGCTCAGGCCTGTAATCCCAGCACTTTGGGAGACTGAGGCAAGTGGATGACAAGGTCAAGAGTTGAAGACCAGCCTGACCAACATGGTGAAACTTTGTCTCTACTAAAAATACAAAAATTAGCTGGACATCGTGGAACGTTCCTGTAATCCCAGCTATTTGGGAGGCTGAGGCAGGAGAATTGCTTGAACTGGGATCCAGGAGGCAGAGTTTGCAGTGAGCCAAGATTGTGCCACTGTACTCCAGCCTGGGCTACAGAGTGAGACTCCATCTCAAAATATATATATATATATATCTTCAGCTGTTCTATTAGTCTTTTGACATTACTCAGATGGTCTGGAAATGAATTTTGAGAATAACATGAATAGAAGTGAGAGAACATAAACATAGTTGTTGGAGATAACACTCAGAATAGTATTATAGATTTGTTCTTTTTACTAATTGGAAAAATAGCAGTTGTTGAATAATACTTTTCTTTTGACCCTTGTGACTTAATAAAAACACTAAAATGAAGTAATCTAATCATTTTCTTTAAACTTTGAATCTGAGCTTTGCAACTAGGTTTATAATGGTATATGAAACCTGTTAGGCTGGGCGTGATGGTGCTGGGAGGCTGAGGCGGCGGATCACGAGATCAGGAGTTCAAGACCAGCCTGACCAACATGGTGAAACCTCTTTTCAACTAAAAATACAAAAATTAGCCAGGCATGGTAGCGTGTGCCTGTAATCCCAGCTACTCAGGAGAGGCAGGAGAATCACTTGAACCTGGGAGGTGGAGTTGCAGTGACTTGAGATCATGCCACTGCACTCCAGCCTGGGTGACATAGCAAGACTCTGCTCAGGAAAAAAAAAGTAAAAGAAAGAAACTTACTTGGAAGTCATATGGGATACAAACCCTGCTTTTATTATCTTCCCCATTTGACTTACTTGGGTCTCAGTTTCCTTAATAACTGTGAAGTGGACTTTGATGTTGCTATAAACAATGTATAGGGCCGGGCATGGTGACTCATGCCTGTAATCCCAGCACTTTGGGAGGCCGAGGTAGGCAGATCACCTAAGGTCAGGAGTTTGAGACTAGCCTGACCAGCATGGTTAAACTCCGTCTCTACTAAAAATAGAAAAATTTAGTTGGACGTGGCAAGCACCTGTAATCACAGCTATGTCAGAGGCTGAGGCAGGAGAATCACTTGAACTCGGAGGTGGAGGCTGTAGTGAGCCAAGATCACGCCACTGCACTCCAGCCTAGGTGACAGAATGAGACTGTGTCAAAAAAAAATAATTATAAATAAATAAATAAATAAATAAAAGAACATAGAGGATTGGCTACAAGCTACCAAAAGGTATTTTAGTATATTATTTGAAGGAGGAAGGAACAAGCCTACTTGTTAGGGATCTCTTTTCACCAATCTTTAAAAAAAAGAAAAAAAAAATCAGTTGAACTTTATATGGAATGTTTTTATCCTGCCTTAGGAATCCAGTTTTCAACTTCATTCAGAATGCTGTTTTCAGAATTAATACATTTAGTTAGGAGAGAAAATTATTCTTACGTATTTGTAATTGCTGTTGTTCTTCAGATATTGTGGTTTTGATTTCCACCGAATTCCTAACACTTTGGAAAAGTAAACGGTAATAGGATAAAGAGTAAGAGCTAGAAAGGACTGTTATACCTAGATCTTCAGAGAAGCCTTTTTGAGGAAGTGACATTTGAACTGAGAATGTAATGAATAAATTTTCCCTTTCTTTTAGTTCCAAGATTATCCCCTAAAACTCACAGACCCAGGTCTCCTAGACAGAACAGTATTGGAAATACCCCCAGTGGGCCAGTTCTTGCTTCTCCCCAAGCTGGTATTATTCCAACTGAAGCTGTTGCCATGCCTATTCCAGCTGCATCTCCTACGCCTGCTAGTCCTGCATCAAACAGAGCTGTTACCCCTTCTGGTGAGGGTACGTAACAAAGGGCTTCTAGATTCATAATTCCATTTATGAAGTTGAATGTTAGAGGTTAACGTTATATGAAAAATTCTGGGTTATTTTTATTCATAGACAAATAGGTTTAACCCACATTTAAAAGTTTATGTAAATTTTGATGTTGCTTAGTACTACTAATTTAATATATATTATGTCTGTTATAAAGGTAACATTCTTAGGTGTTAAATACCTATGTAAATAAAATTACTGCTGTTTCATATGATATCTGCAAAGAAAAAAGTCTCTGTCTAAATGAAAGCATTCTTTTCCAGAAACATAGGAAATCAAAATTATTATTTAGTGTTTTCTTGTTTTGCTTTTCTAACTTCTAACTCTGATTTTTTAAAAATTGTTTTCTAGCTAAAGATTCCAGGCTTCAAGATCAGAGGCAGAACTCTCCTGCAGGGAATAAAGAAAATATTAAGCCCAATGAAACATCACCTAGCTTCTCAAAAGCTGAAAATAAAGGTTAGAGTTTAAAGAGTCATTAGGCTTAACTGTAGAAATAGGAAGGAGTGTCTAATTTCATGCCCATACAGAATATTTTTGTTGAACATTTTTTCTTACTATTGTGATAGATAAATGTATTGCTTGACAAATTCTAAAATCCAAAATTAATATTTGAAACGATTTTTGATCATATATCTTATTCTAATTTCTATCATCTCATAGTAAAAGAATGTGAAGTTAGAGTTTAAAAAGAAATCTATATCTAACAGTTCTTAATTTTACAGGTATATCACCAATTGTTTCTGAACATAGAAAACAGATTGATGATTTAAAGAAATTTAAAAATGATTTTAGGGTAAGTGTATTGACTGATGAATTTGAGTTTTAAAAAATAAAAGTTACTAAAGATGTATCATCAATTTATAAAAATGCATTACGTATACAGTCAGAAACATCAAACCATATGTATAGAAAGCAGAGCATTCTTAAAGTGTTCTTTGCCTGCCCTTTTAAGTGGGATGACTAAAATCATGAGATATTTTAACAACAATGTATAGGTATCCACCATAGTACCACTTAACTGTTTAATGGTCGTTTGATTACTTTGTTCACTGAAGCTAGATTTTAGTAGAGTCAGGCCAAGTCATTAATTATCTAGTGTGGCAAATGGAAGATGTACTGGGCTCTGGTGTTCTGAGGTAGTTGCAGATTTATACTTCGTACACAAATATATTGTGGTCAAAATCTTTCTATAACATTTTTCTGTCTTAGGACATGCTTTGTTTAACATCTCTATTTGACTACCATTTAATCTTTGCAGAATATTTACTATAATATACTATAGATATCAAGGTAGATTTTGAGACCAACAAAGAAATCTTGAAACTTAGCTTCTTGGAAATCTGATTACCAGCCTTTTAAAAAAAAAGTAGCTGAATTAAAGGATGAGTGAATCAAAGGCAAAGGCAGCTTTTCTCAGCATGGGTTTTAGCTTTCCAAATGTTAATAATTTTTTTGCTAATAGCTTCATTCTTGACTTATTGGTAGCATTCAAAGTATTACATATCATTTCATACTTTAGCACATGTATCTATTCAGCTTTAATGCTATTAACAGTTTTTAGCTTAAATATTAATTTGTTGGCTGGGCACAGTGCTCATGCCTATAATCCCAGCACTTTGGGAGGCTGACATGGGCAGATCACCTAAGGTCAAGAGATCAAGACCAGCCTGGCCAACATGATGAAACCTTGTCTCTACCAAAAATAGAAAAATTAGCTAGGTTTGGTAGCGGGTGCCTGTAATCTCAGCTACTTGGGAGGCTGAGGCAGGAGAATTGCTTGAACCCAGGAGGCAGAGGTTGCAGCAAGCCGAGATTGCGCCACTTCACTCCATCCTGAGTGACCGAGCAAGACTCCGTCTCCAAAAAAATGTTGTTTTAAATTTGTTAAACAGTAGTTAACCACATACAAATGATAAAGAGAACAATGAATATGACCATGTACCCACTACCGCGCTTAATAAGTCAAGCATTCTAGTACAGTTAAACTCCTCTTATGTACTTCCTCTTCCTCAGCTGCATCCCCCTCTTCCCTTTCAAGAGGAAGGGTTTCTTTTCTGTGCAGTCATTTCTGTTTACACTGCATATGAATAGATCCGTGAACAATAGATGATATTTTACATAATCTTAAATTTGCTATAAATGATGTCTTGCTGTAGGTATTCTTGCCCATTTGATTTTGTTCCTCGGCATTTTTAAAAATATTATTCAGTCCCCTCTTGTACTACACTTGGATTAAATTTAATATCTCATGAAGAAAAACATTTTTACTTGGAAGCGTGTGAATTAGTATATTTTTGTAGCAGCTTTATTGAGATACTATATAAGTCAACCATTTAAAGTCCATAAATTAGTGGTTTTTAATATATTTACAATGTTGTACAACCATCATTAGTTGATTTTAAAACATACTCTTCACCCCCAAAACAGATGCCATACCCTTTAGCAGTTGCTCCACATTTTGCCTGCAGCCCTTTTCTTACCCCTACTCCCAACCCTAAGGAACCATTAATGTACTTTCTGTCTCTATGGATGTCTTGATTCTGGGCAAATTCCATTTTATACAAGTGGAATAATAAACAATGTGACTTTTCTTTTTTTTTTGAAACAGAGTTTTGCTCTTGTTACCCAGGCTGGAGTGCAATGGCAAGATCTCGGCTCACCGCAACCTCCGCCTCCTGGGTTCAGGCAATTCTCCTGCCTCAGCCTCCTGAGTAGCTGGGATTACAGGCACGCGCCACCACGCCCAGCTAATTTTTTGTATTTTTAGTAGAGACGGGGTTTCACCATGTTGACCAGGATGGTCTCGATCTCTCGACCTTGTGATCCACCCGCCTCAGCCTCCCAAAGTGCTGGGATTACAGGCTTGAGCCACCGTGCCTGGCTAACAATGTGACTTTTCTGACTGGCTTCTTTCACTTAGGGTAGTGTTATAAAGGTTAATCCATTTTGGAGCATGTTGCAGTACTTTGTTTCCTTTGACTGAATATTTCATCATATGGAAAATACCACATTTTGTTTATTCATTCATCAGTTTGTGGCTATTTGTGGTGTTCTCAGTAGTTGACTAATCTGAATAACACTGCCATGAACATGAGTGTGCAGTTTTTTTCTCATCAGATATTTTCATTTTTTGTGTTTGACCTACCTAGGAGTTGAATTGCTGGGTCATATGGCAACTGTGTTTAACTTTTTGAGGAACTACCAAGCTATTTGCCAAAACAACTGCACTATTTTACATTCTTTTTTTTTTTTTTAAATTATTTAAGACCTTTATTAACAGGTACTTGCAGTTTGTTGACTTTTTTGAAAAATGTTGTAAACTTTTATTACAAATTAAAAATGAAGTTCTTAAAAATCTCAACTTGACCAGATATGAAACAATTTAAAAACCTTTAAAGGCGTATTGAGAAAAACTAGGCTTTTTAAAAAAACACATTTGTTATTACCAAAAAGAGACATCTTTAGGTAAAAATTTAAAAAACCCCATGCTGCATAGATAATGCAGATAGTTCTATTTATCTGGTCAACAGGCAAAAGCAAGCACTTAAGGTCTTCAGCTCCAATCTTTTGTTCATTTCTTATTGCTGGAATTTCTTATTTCTTCTTGTTGAATGACTAAACCGGATGATGGTAGAGATGGTAAGCCGGCATTTACTCAGCCCCGCCCTGCTCAGCCTCGGGAGCGGAGGAATTCTCAGCTGGTGGATGGGCTGCTTTTGTCTCTTTGCCATCTTGTGGTTTAGGGTTTTCTGGTCGTCTGCGTTGGTAATTGAGGCAGTACCGACCTTGAGGTGGCTGCTGACCTTGGGTCTCATCTCCTTGATGTTCTTTATCCTCTTCACTGCTGTCCTCTCTAGGCTGTCTTTGGCGAGGAGGACCCCTGCGGAATCGTGGTCTGTATCCCCGATACATACTCTGCCTCACTGGTCTACCTTGTTCTCCTGCACCCTGGTTGTCGGCACCCTCCAGCACTTCTCCCTGCACATGAGGGTTGGAATATTGTGGTCGACGCCCATAGGGTCTCTGCATATAGTAAGATGGGGAACTTTCACTTGCGGTAGAGCCGGCGTTATTGGGCCTGGCCTTCGGGAGCACTCTCTGATTCCTCGTTCTTTTCCCCACTCTCACTCTTATGGTAATTTTGCTGGTAATTGCGTGGAGGACCCCTACGACGTGGATAGCGTCTATAATGGTTACGGTCCGCTGCATATTTACTGCCTTGAACTGGAACGCCAACAGGACCTGTAACATTTGCTGCCTCCGCACCCTTTTCTCCTTCAACAACATCAAACTCCACAGTCTCTCCATCCCTCCTACACTGCGAGGGTACTTCCTGAGCTTATTCTTCTTTATGGCAGTCTGGTGTACAAATACATCTTCCTTGGTGTCATTCCTGTTGATGAAACCATATCCTTTCCTTACATTGAACCATTTTACTGTTCCCAAAACCTTCGTTGCCGCGATGTGAGGCCCCCCGGGCCACCGCTCCCTGCGCGGCTGCCCGTAGTGCCGGGCTTGGTGTTGGCAGTGCTGAGGGCAGGGGCGGGGAGGGGGGAGGGGGCGGCAGGCGGCTGCTGGGTCTCTGCCTCGCTGCTCATGGTTGCAGTGATGGTGACTGGTGCTGGCTGCTGCAGCTACGGCTCCTCCTGGGATGTGATGGTAACTAGGCCGTTGGTGGAGGCGGTGGGGCTGCTCGGGGCTCTCTGGGGTCCGCTCTCCGCTCCCGCTACCGATCGAACTCTATTTTACATTCTTATCAGCAGGGTCTGAGGTTTCTATTTCTCCACATTCTTACTAACATTTTCTTTGTTTTTTGATTATAGTCATCCTTGTGGGTTTGAAGTAGTATCTCATTGTGGCTTTAATGTGCAGTTCTTTCATGGCTAATGATGTTGAACATCTTTTGTGTTTATTGGCTGTTTATATATGTTCTTTGGATTGATGTCCGTTCAAATCTTTAGCCCATTTAAAAAATTTAGCTGTCTTTTTATTATTGGGTTATAGCAGTTCTTTATCTATTCTGTGTACAAGTCCGTTAGAAACATGGTTTGCAAATGTTTGCTCCTGTTCTGTTGGTTGTCTTTTTACTTTTTCATCCCTTGAAGCACAAAAATTTTAAATTTTGATGAAGTCCAATTTATCTCATTTTGTTGTTCTTATTTATGCTATTGGTGTCATATCTAAGAAACCACTGCCTAGTCAGTCATTAAGGCTTATTACTCTTTTGTTATTTTTTAAGAATTAAATTTAGAGGTGTGATCCATTTTTAGCAAGTTTTTTTTTCCTTTGATAGAGTCTCACTCTGTTGCCTGGGCTGGAATGTAATGGGTTTGTGTGATCTTTGCTCACAGCAGCCTCAGCCTCCTGGGCTGAGTCAAGCTAGTAGCTGGTACTGCAGGTGTGCACCACCACCTCTTGCTATTAATAACTTTTGTATTTTTTTGTAGAGACAGAATTTCACCATGTTGTCCAGGCTGCTCTCAAAACACTTGGACTCAAGTGATCCATCCACCTCAGCCCCCAAAGTGAAAAATTGCTTTCACTTTGTACTGCAGACTTGCCCTGAATTCTTTCTTGTGTGAGACCCAAGAGCCCTCTCTTGGGATCTGTATCAGGACCCTTGTGAAATAAATTGTTACTAAAAAAAAAACCCAAACAGACAGGGTCATAGGAGAGTGACTTGCTGCTCAGCCCATTTTGAGCAATTTTTAAATATAGTATAAGGTGGGGCTAAAATTCATTCGTTATATTAATTTTTTATTTCTAATTGACGCATAACCATATATTTGTAAC